ACGACCGGACCACCTGCGTCGTGATTGCAAGCGGCGTGAGTAAAGTTTTTTACAACCAATAAGTTGTGTCTGCCTCTCCATTCACCAGCCCGCCCTGACGTACGAGCGTAACTCGAGTCGGCCCTGGCCGTCCGAGACAGGTTGGTTGTTTTGAGACTGTTTGCTATGGTCTGTTTTCTAATAAAATGTTTAAAAAAAAAAAAAAAAAGGGTTCCCATCAGCAGCTTTGCCTTTTGGATAAGATCAAGGAGAGAGACCAAGGCTCTGGCCCCTCCTGGTGCCTGCCTGGTACTGCAGTACCTCTAGACCCAGTGCCAGTTCCCTCTGGAGGGAACACCCACCTGTTTGGTTTTTTTGTTTGTTTTTTGTTAAGGGGAAAAAAAAAAGGTTCCCTTTAGCATTGTTGGCACCAGGTGAGGGTATTGGAGCTTGCCCCAGCCTCTCCAAGTGCTGGCCTGGTATTCTCTAGGCCCGCAGCTGGCTGGTGTAGCAATTTTTTTTTTTTAAAAGGGCAACACCCCACCCCCACAAAATGTTCCTATCAGTATGTTTGTCCAATTTAGGTCCTGTGTTTTATAGTCATGCACAGTGTTGGCTACATTTTAATCAGCTGCATAGTTGGTTTCCATTCCGGAGTACATGTTGCTTTTTGCAGCAGTTTAATGACAAACAATGTATTTAATAAGGTTTCCTTGCATGTAATCATAAGACAAGGGGCTCCTCCTTCCCCCTTAATGATTGGGGGAAAAACAAACTAATTTTGTATTTAAGTAAATATGGTAATTGCTGAAAATTATTAGAATCCCTCCTCTTCAGGATATGGCACCTTGGAATACACAGTACCCCCTTACAGGGCTAAAGCAGGACTGTGGTTAAGTTTTGCCAAAAGATAACCTTATGGATTGTAGTGTCTCATTCCAATCCTTCTTAGGAGATGTGAAATTCATAGCTTTATACTGTATAGCTAAAGGCAAGCTAAGAATCAGATTATTTGTAAAGCTGACATTCAAACTAAACTGAACACAAAACTATTTTGTAAAGAAAATGCCATTCTTATGATCATGTTTCAGTGCACAGAAGTTACACAATTAAGGTGCCATACAGCTTTAGAGCAGTGTTTCCCAATGTTTTCCAGCCTAAGGCACACTTACGTTAATAAAAATATTCCAGGACATGCCTGTTAAGGCATTCCCCATCCTTATGCCTATTGTAGCTCATTACAGCTCATTGCTATGGCAAAATTCCACAGCACACCTGTTAATTTCTGATGGCACACGTTTATGTCGTGGCACACTGGTTGGGAAACACTTTGTTAGAGCTAAGAGAAGTAGCTTCACCTTGGGAAGGAGAATGTGTGTCCAGTTAGGACTAAAGGTTCCCTTGCTAACACACTGTGAGACAGATCTCCCCTTCTGGGGCATTAAATTCCAGATCACCCCATAATTTCCTCCCGTACCACATTGGTCTGGAAGAGAAACACCTAGATGAACTTGGACAAAAACAAGCAACCAGTACAGAAACAGCTGCAGTATATTAGAAGGCATTTTGAAGGCATAGTATCCTGAATGCCATTTTGACTCTGGACATCTTTCCCCTTTGTGCTGTTTATTCGTATTCCTGCTATTCCTTTCTAGTTTTTCGCCTTAGTGATACTCCAGTGGTTGTCAACTGGGGGTACCCATGGGCAGGCGGGGATGGATCACTGCCACCCACCACCCCGCGCTGCTGCCTCCCGGGAGCAACACCAGGGGGAAGTGAGGGCAGCAGCACCCCTCTGTGGTCCGCACAGGCACTGCCCTGTTGACCGGACATTGGGAGAGCAAGCTCACACATGGCAGCTGCTGCCACCCGCTACCCCGGGCTGTCATCACTGTCTGGCTCCCTGGGATACACTAGTTAGAAAAGGTTGAAAACCCCTGCCTTACTTCATTTATCCTCTATGCTTCTTTCTCTTTTTCTTCTCCCTTCTTTTCTTCTTGCCTACCTCCATTTACCTTCCCACTCCTCTCCTGCTCTTGCCTATCCATTCACCTAATCATCCCATAACAAAACCCATTCATAATTAAAGACAGAACACACACAAGCCCTTTAAGTCCCTCCATACAGAAATCCAGTGGTGGCACCAATGAGATCTGCAAGCTGTTACCGTTTATGTTATGTTGCTTTCTCCTGTCATTTCTGTTGTCTGAGTTGCATGATCTTGAGACCAGAGACTATCTATTCCTGCTTGCCATACATAGGGTTACATTCTTGTTTGACCTGTGGATGTCACCACGATGCAAAACAGACCTTGTTGGGAAACTGCATGCTTATTAGTGTGAAGAACTGTAGTAGTAATCAAAACTATGGGAGACCAGCAACTATGGGAGTTCTCCATATGGTATTCATGGGAAAGAACAGCAAAAAGTAAGCCACTTAAGCATTAATTCAGAAGGCCACACTTGGCAGACCAGGTATAGGGAGAGAAATCACAAAGGTAAATAAACATGTGGCCATAACAGGTTGTATGATCCAGTCTCCTAGTCTATACTTGGGAATTTTTCTGATTTCTCAGTAACAGTGGGAGCCAAAGCACAGACAGGACTGTGAATGATAACACCTTATTAGCTAACTTCTAGGCAATGAGTCTAATCAACATATTGCAGTGAACAGCTTCCACAGCCTTTATGTAGTAAGGTTCCCAACACTTTTAATATCAGTTTAGTTGTTTTATGGAGACATGAATTGGCTAAAGGGTATAATAGGAACTACATGCTCTACCAGTAAAAACAAAGCAAGGTAAGAGGTGGTATAGGTATATTCAGGAAATAATTCCTTTTGTGCTTAATGTGCTCTACCTGAACTGAAGCCATTACACACAGTGCTCTGCAGAATCAACTTACAATACAACAAATAGTAATTTTAGTTAACATAAAAAAACCTTTATAAAATAATTCTGATTCGAGACCAGATCAACTACTTTAACAATAATAGTCATAAAATATATCAAATGACAGTAACCTACAACCGTTACCCAGTGATTTTTGTTCCAGTGGTACTTTCACTTGAAACTGTTTACAGAATAGCATATTAATATAACTCATTTTATTAATTAGTTCTATAGTATGCATCACCATAATGCTAGGATAGGGCATTTGATACTGTTAACTAGTGAAGAGTGTTTTCATAATCCCAGAATTTAAAGGATAGCAACTCCTAATTCAAGATATAAACCAGCACCTAGTTAATGCCCCCTCATCCATTTTGAGAATACCAACCTATTTTATTAATTTAATTACCCAGTTATCCCAAGGAACTAAACTGAGACTGGTTTTTAAATCATTAATGGGATAAAATAATTAACAAAACCAATATCACTCCATTCGTCAATAGTTTGTGAAAACTGGCTGTGAGCCATGTTACCTGTCGAAAAGATTCTTCTTCTTGATCCTCCAGGACAGTGTGCTCATCAAAATCGATTAGATGATCATACATTTGAATATTGTACTCTTTCCAAGACACCAAGCCATCCCCATCTTTATCATATACAACAAAGTGTTGTTTAGCCTCTTGCATAACATAATGTGTAAAAGACTTCTGGATCCAGGAACTTAGCTCATCTGTGAAAATGCCATACAATAGATTTAAATCTATTATTATATCTTGTTCTCTGTCAATTAAAAAAGTTTAAATAATTACATTTTAAGTCTTGGAACGTGTAAAAATGTCATGCATCTCTTCGTATTCAATGAAAACATTAACTTTTTTCTAAAATACAACCACTTAAGCAGTAGGTGTACTATGCAGATCCACTCTCTGTTTTGGGTTTTCCCTGTGCTCTCACAACCAACCAAGCCAGCTAACCACAAGAATCAAAACACAGTTAAAATCCTACGTTCTTCCTTTATGGTTGTACTTTCCCCAACTAATTAGCAGCTCAAAACTGACTTCATGAGGATCATTTTATATTGTTTTTAGAGCTAAAATAATAGGGAACAATGCATGGGCACAAAATATGAACTCTATAATAGCTTTTGCAAAAGCAGATTCCACCATTTTAAACATTATTCATAAATATTTTGCTTTTTGAAAATCAACAGTCACAAATGGGAATATATAATACATGAATCCATTGTCATATGCTGAAGTTGTATATTAAACAGAAGACTTCCACTGAAAATTACCCTCAGTTAGGTCTTGTAACTTAAAAGCTGCTCCAAGCTATTATTTCCATACACAACACCATTACACAACAAACAGACAAAATTAGCAAGTGTTGCTAAGTTCTTCTTCTTATATTGATGGTCTTAACAACCTAATTATAAAGAAAACTGAGAAGGTTATTATACTGTTTTCAAAACGTCATAAAACTTAGACAGACATTACACGGTACTGCTACTCTGAAAAACGACAAAGTAAAACTGTCATCTTTTTATTCACCCAATTTGCATTGTGATGTAAAAAAATTGTGGCAGTTTTTTATGCCAAAATAAGTCTGTTATTTACTTCTATTAACACTGCAGTGTGTTGGAAGAATGAGATGGTGTCTCCCATCACCGGCACGGCATTATATAATTGTTAATTAAGTTTTGAATGCAGAATTTATTACTGCAGCAGCCAGTATTACACTTGGTATGCTAAAGAAGTTGCTACCTGAGTACATGTCAAATCCTATTAAGTCAGTCCATGAAAAAAGCATTACTCTTAAGAGTTAAGTTCTGTTGTGAACCAATCTTCATGGATGTCTTTGATGAGAAGCATATATGATTTCACTTCCATGGCTTGTTTTACTTTCTAGTATTTGGTGCACACAGAACCCACACACCCAGGCATACAAAACCTATTGCCATTCAACAGCAATGGTGCTGTGACATTAGTGCCCTGAATAATTTTAACATGCCACAACTCCTTCTGGCCTTGACCTCAAACTTGGCACTGCTACTGAAACCAGCAGGTAGCTCATAAAGGCAGTTTACACATGTTAAAATAAATAAATAAATAACCTGTTGCTTTATTTTAAACTGGGGACGCTCCTGCACTAAGTGCAGTGCGTACCCAAGAGAGGCAGTGCCTTAGCTAGATCCAGCTCACCTGATATCTGTATAGATCAGGCACTTTAATGGGGCTTTTCTGGCATTTATTTAATAGCCAGTTGAATCAGCTTTAGCTAAAAGTGCCAAAAAGCCCCACTGAAACACCCAATCTATACAAATGCTGCAGAGCCGGGTCGAAGTAACACACTGCTTCTTCCACTAAAGCACAGGTTTGGGTTTTTTGTTTTGTTTTTTAAACATCTGCAAGGAGCCAAGGTATCCAAAACCAAAGGCAAATGCTGCAGAAGCAACATTATAATTATGGCTGAAGGCATTTTCATACTAAGAACCTGAGTTTCGCTTTGCAAGAATGAGAGACCGTTAGGAGTGGGATTTTTACACTTTAATGGTGTGTAAAATTCTTCCTTTACACTTTTCTCTTTACATAGCTTTGCTAGTGTGCAGTGTTAGTTGTGAAACGGTTTTAAAATACTATACTATACTTGTATACCTAGTAAATAACTGTTTATTAG